CACACATACAGGAGGCAACGCGTGAACACAGTTATGACATGTCATAATTCATTTTGATCCTAAACCAAAATTTACATACGCTTTATTTAGCACCAAATTGGAACATTTTCGTCTTGTTTTGGGAGCATCTGACCCTCTCCCTCCCCCTGGTGTGTCGGGGGATCAAACGACTGAATATGACTAATTTGTGCTCAGAACGACCTACTGAGACCGTTTTATTTGAACCCAAATCGTGGGGAATGTCTCTCTCATAGTTAGCATTTTCCTAGAAACCAAAAACATACATCCACCAGCTATGGTCATGATAACGAGGAACTACTGATTTGGATTCGACCAGGAATCGATGAAAATATAACAGCATATTTACATACGATAAATTTGATAGACCAGTAAAAATATTCGCACATCCGGGAACCATAACTTTTTCCGTTATTGCCACCATTGTTGGCCGATATAAAAACAATCGCACTATGTGCGACAGGTAATTTAGTGTTACTATGAAGCTGGGTGTGGTGCCCCCCCCCCCCCTTACTCTACGCTCCAGACAGCGGGAAAGATCGGCGTGGACTGTTGTCGCTACTTGAGCTGTACGGAAAAACTGAGGCCTGATCGACGTGACTGTCTGTTTTTTGCGAAGCCCTATAGGCTATTTTTTGAAAAGAGTGTTCCCCTTTGGACCGGCGTTGGGGCGCCTCGTCTATGGTGAGACAGGCATGCGTGTGTAGTGTGTATCTCAAACTAGACTCTTTCGCGATGACGTCACACGAGCACACACACACACACGCGTCAAGCCTTAACACAACTCGCGTCCGCTACTACTATACATGTGCCGCTCGCCTCGCCTAGCCCATTCATTCTCATCCCGGCCTGGCTGCTGGCTGGCTGCTGGCTGGCTGCTGGCTGCTGGCTGGCTGCTGGCAGACCGGCCTGGCCAGGGCAGGGCGCCGTTGGCTGGTCAGGGGATCAGACTGGGTGGGCGGGCCGGCGGGCCGAGCAGGGGCCGGACACCACACAGAATCGCGCGAATAATCTTACTGCCAAGGACGAGGCGCTCCTCGCCGTTGTCTATTCTCTCACTCTCTCCACGTCATCCTTCCCTATGTGATGCGAGTTCCCCTTTTCTTCTTTTTGTTTCGCATTCACTGTACGAACGCCAATGCAAGACCCGCCCGTCCCTTAGAGAGGGCGCCAGCCGAGAGGGAAGTCCCAACAGCTTACAAGGGGACTCATGCAAATGTTCGTCCCCGATTTTGCTCCGCATTGAGTGTTTTGAAGGCTGGCCGCATACCTACCGATTGGTGAAAAAAATCACGCAAATTGATATCATAAGGAAGAAATCCATTTTGTCAAAAAATTACTAAAACTGGCCTTAAAAAAAAAATCAAAAAAATCAACAATCCAAATATGATCCCCAGTTTGTATTTTGCCCTAAAATTGGCACAGCCCGGCGACCGGCACAGCCTCAGAAGGGCACCGGAATTTCAATCAGAACATCATCACAGATAAGTCCCACCGGGTGCGAAAAGAGTCCCACACAAGCACCCGCCCCGCGTGGCCACGCCAGACCCCGGCGGCGGCAGCGGCACACGCTGTCACTAAACAGACTAAAATAATTGGACGACGAGCACAGGCCGAGCGATTTTGCCACGTCAGTTGGCAACCCGTTGAACCCTCTCAGCAGCGGCGGCTGAGCGGCGGCGGCAGTGATAGGGGTCGCGGGACTCACTCCCACGTGGCGGGGGCGCAGCAGCAGCGCCTTCATAAAGATAAAAACAAAAACCCGACAGGAACCCTGAAGTCTCCGCCGACGTGAATGAGAAGACTGTTGCTACAATGGCGCCAAAGCCGCGGCAAAGCGCGGTGGAAACCTCAGTTTCAGACAGTTATTCACATATATGAAACGGGAAACGTGCCGCCGCCACCGGCCGCCACTCACCTCGTAAATACCATGAGACGACTTGGCCTTACCTGCACTTTACCTGCACAATCTTTAGTTCCTGAAATCAACTACGATTTAGTACCGTTTAGTACTCTCATTTTAAACTAAACATCAAAATTTCGTCCAACACAAGTAAAATTATTTTGTTCACAATTTTGGTTCCCTGAACTAAAGGGGTGTCTCTGCGTGCTTCCCATCCTCCCAACCACTTCAAGTGGCCAAATTGCACGAGATAAGAAGGTGGTGATGCGTGGCGCTCATCAGCATCGACTGGGCCAGGGGCCGGCGGCGGCGGCGGGGGGCCGGCAGGGGCCAGCGGGGACCCCCTCGGGCGCGCCAGGCTGCGCGCCTCGGGCCGCTGCCCAGCCGTTGCTAGGGCGGCCGGCAGGGAGGGAAGCACCACGCGCCGCATACATTGTGCGACGGACAGCACGGGCGACGCGGGCGGAGCGGGCGCCTTGGCATGGCAACCGACCCCGGCGCGGCCCGCAGACCGGATTAAAGATGAAACAAAAAGAAATGGGTTCACCGTTTTAGACCAGGTGGGGAAGCGGAGGAGGAGGAGGCCCTAGACGCGGCGGGGCGGCAGGAGGACGGGGCAGGGGGGCGGGGCGGGGCGGAGGCGCCGAGGACACGGCCTAAACGGCGCAGCAGCGCAAGCGGGTGTAGTGCCTGTCACGTCTAGAGATTTGTCAGGCGCGCGCACACACACACACGCACGAGCGAGAGCCCCGCGCATGTGAGTGTGTGCGTGCGTGCACGTGCGCTTCGGAGCGTGCAACGAAGGGTCATCAATCAAGGTGAAGGGATGATGAAGGGGGAGAGGGGTCCCATGGATGGCAAATATTGAAAAGGGGTGTGAGGGGCGCTGTACTGTGCTGTACAGCATGAGGGCCTCGATGGAGGCGGATAGCGGCCGCCTGTCCGCCCATCAATAATCAATATGGAGCCTAAGGCCGACCTAAACTTGACCCGGACGCCGCCGAGCGGGCTTTCCAGCGACTGTTCCAGCACGCTGGCCAGAGTCTGGTTTGAGCCCGCCGCAGGTTCAAACTCCATACATGGCTGAGTGAAGTGCATCCTTCCGGATCTCTGCGTCTCACCTCCTCCTGACCTTTCCCGCGTCCCAAGCGCTTGGTGCAGCTGCTTCTTCGCAGTGAAATTTTTGTACGCGAAACAGCGACATGGAGGCGGCGCATGAGGTATGAGGGAGCTGCACGGCCACGCGTTGACCCCTTGGCCCTGCCAGTCCCTGATAGGCTGCCCTTAGCCTTTGGAGGGTACGTGAAGGAACTTACACTGTCACGCACTATTTAGCAAAATAATATATTCAAGGTACACAGCCACACTAAGTTCCTGATCAGGAACACATTTGTATACAAACAGCAGGTCTGTTTGTAATACGAAGAAATATTCGATCGCAATATGGATCCATTGTACATTTCGATTCGGACTCTTCGTAATAAGTATTTGGTGGGAACAAGGAGAAAGGCGGGTCGGGGCGGGGTAAGGGAGGGGGAGAGAGAGAGAGAGAGAGAGAGAGAGGGAGGGAGATGGAGAGAGGGAGAGAGAGGGAGGGAGGGAGAGAGAGAGAGAGAGAGAGAGAGAGAGAGAGAGAGAGAGATTGGCCCGATCAGCGCGGCGCAGTACACAAGCGAAGCGGGCTGCAGCGTAGGCCAGCTGCCTCGGAGCGGTGACAGGCGGGCCGGCCTACCTCCTAGGCTGACTCGCTGCAATGCCGTGGACCCGACCTCCCTGGGGGAAAGAGGGGCTACAGTCGCGTTGGTAGTGGGACGGGCGAAGAGAAGGCGAGAGAAGGGGGAAGGGGAGAGGGAGGGAGAGCGCGGTAGGGCGGGCGTGGGCGGACGTGATGACGCCCGTTAATTTAATGGGCGTGGAGAGGGAGGAGGAGGTTAGTGTCTCTCGCTCCCGCAACAGAAGCCCGCGCGCGCGGCCACCGAGACGGAGAGGGAGAGAGAGGGAACTACAACGGGAGGTACAGAGGGAGAGGGAGGGAAAGAGAGGGGGAGGAGGGGAGGGAGGGAGGGAGGGCGGAACGGGATGTTCAATCAGTGAGAGCTTCTCATTACCATCCCCAATGTGGCAAATCCTGTACTACTGTGGGTGGAAAATAACGCGCAAGAAATAAAACCGAACGCACGAGTGCATCCGGTAGGACTGCAAGTGGGCAGCGAATGGGAGGTTTAAGGGCCCAATGGAGCTGGGGTTTGCTCGCAGTCTCGTGTGTGTGGGGGACAGAGAGGGGGAGGGAGAAAGAGGGGCACCAAGAGCCGGTGAAATGTCTTGAGGTCCGTTAACCGATAGAGTAAAGGGGGAATCCTCAGGGGAATCCACAGGTTTCATTGCTGAATTATACAGAATATGGGCAGCGGATGCGACTTAATGAGAGAAACGATCCGGAAACACCAAACCATTCCCCAAAGCCCGGCCGGCAGCACCCTTTATGAAAATCACACGAAGGGGCAGTCGTGGGGATGTGCCGAGCAGTAGGTGCACTGCGCGAGAAAGAGCAAAATACATTTTCCGGGAAGGAACACCAGGAACACGCATTGAACGGCGTCAAAAGAGGTGGGTGTGGCAGACGGATAAGGTGGCTGCGAGAGTTATGGTGCACTATTGGGCCAGCAGAGGCGTCGTTAAAATCATCCCAGAGCAATCCAAACACACTCTGAATCTAACAAGGCTCCTGTTAATTATAACCACACATTACCGACTCGAAACGACCGGAGGGCCCTAGGCTGCTGCAAGCGCTACTGCATTTATGGCCACGGCACTTCCTCACTCCCCCCTCCCCTCTCCCAACCCCCGGTGTCTCTCTCTTTCTCACTCCCCTTGCTACTGTCCCACTCTCATTAAGGAGTGGAGATGCAGCAGGAGAAGGAGACCGAAAGCATCCAGAGCTTGCACCGCCGGCTATGGCCAATCTCACGGTTACGGAGAGACACATTTTGACCGCGCCGTAGTTACTATATCGCCAAAGACTAGCCAAACCATATCTCTGGAGGCCGTGACGTTGACCAATTAAAACACGTCTACTCACCTCTCCTCGCCGCGCAGCACGTTGACTTCTTTGTGAAAAGTCTCCACCTCTTCAATGAGTCCTCGCTCCATCATCTCGTCGACTCTCTTGGAGACTCTCTGCCGAAGAACTTCCTGTAAAATAGAATCTCGTGAAAACCATCGTTCGGAGTGGTGGGACCTTCCTCGGGCCGGAGAGAGGAGGCCCAGCCCAGCCGGTGAGTGTAACCCGGTGTAACCCCCCGGCAGCGGCCCGGCCGTCCCCGCCTCAGTCCTTTTTCAATTTGCACCTCGGCCGTCGCAATTAGTAGCCTGATAACAACATGACGGTGCGCGGCTCATGCATCAGAAAAAGAGAAAGACAAAGAGAACACAATAATTAAAGAAAGCCTTCCGAAATGTTTGGACCCCATGCGCGCACGTGCGCGCACCCCTGCGGTACACCCGAAAGAAAGTTACCGACACTGCCTGCGCCGCATTTGATAATGGCATGAATTAATAATAGCGACAATAATGGTGCTAGACATAAGCTGTCTGGGCGGAGACGAGCCACTTTATAAAATGCTCCTTGCCGTATTATATCGATGGGAGAGAAGCTGCCCGTCACGGTGCCGTGTCGAGTCATGCGGTGAGATATGTGTGCCGCCTGGTAATGCACTTGGGGTCCGTGCCCTCGCCGTTGCCACCCGGAGGTTTATAGTTCCAAACCCAGCCAGCATAGATCGCTTAGCAATCAAGTCCACAACGAGGTCCACCCTCACCTCAAGAGCAATCGCAAAAGAATAAGAGACAATGAGAAAACAAATATCGTCATTTCTGATAGTTGATAGGGACGATAGCGATATAGCGTTCACTCAGGCGCGCAACCTTGAAAAATACGCCTCCATCTCATTCTCCAGTGCGTGTAAATGACACTTTCTCTATTACAGCCGTCTCAAGCCACAGCGCGACACAACGCAGTTTGCCCCCTCATTTTTTTCTACTTGAGTTCAGAACGGTCGACCACTTTACTCCCTCTCCCTTTCTCTCGGTCTCTTGGGGATATCACTATTTTCCTCGCTTAATTTTCCGCGTGGGAATGGGCCTCTTGACGTTTTACTTTCGTCTCGCGCACGCGGGAAAAACGTTTTTTATTTTGTTTTTTTATTTTTAAGAAGTGGAGGGCGAGTAGTTGTGTCCCGGGGACGCGTGTCGGCCTTGGCGTAGATTTACGCACAGCACGCGCCACCGGCGCCGCCACCGGCGGGCCCAACGCGAGACACGTGCCGCCCGTTGTTGTAAGTTAATTCAACTTACTAGAACGCAGCTATTTTAATGCCATTACGACGGGCCGGGTGAGGGAGGGCCGGCAGGGCAGGTGCCTCTAGCCCAGCAGGCAGGGTTGTATCGGTCGGTCCGGGAGCGTCCGATGCTCGAGCCGGCTAAAGCGCTCTCGCTCACTTGCACGAGTTGCTTTTCCGAGCTCCCGGGACGGGTCACGGGTGGACCCGAGTGGACCGACCAATATGCAGATGTGTCTGCCACCCACTTTTAAAATGTTGTCGTGGATTTACGACACTTTTGTTGTCCGTTTTTTCTAGCATAGTATGGCTTGCAGGAACAGTCAATGTCGTTCCCTTGACGAGGAAAGACTGTACAACAACCAAATTGCAGTTTACGTGATCAGATTCTCGCCATGAAAAGGTAAATTTGCTGTTATGAAGTACTAAGAGATTCTTGAAAAGGACTTGTGGGCTGTGGGTGGGAGCATTAGTAAAATTATCGCTTTGAAAATGCACTCTGTATTAAACTTAAACTGATATAATTGCAGCTTCAAAAGTATAAACCTGTTATCGAACGAAAACGAAAATGCAATAATGATGCTTAAAAAGTGCAATAATATTTTTATCGCTGCAAAATGCGTGGACATTATCGCATTTTGGAGAGTAAATTCAGTGCGATAATAATTTTTTCACTAGCACATGTGGAATAGAGGAATAAAATGTGGGAATCGTATTTGGGCCGTTATTGCATTGAATGCGAGGGGGGTTTACCTTGCGTAATACCCTGGCCACCTAACCTTGGTCACACGGAATTACGCATAATTTATTACCAAAAATTTTAGAATCAATCTACAAATAGTATAATTCTTTGCATGTGATACCGACGTAGAACCGTGCATTAATACGGAGTACTCTGTACACGTGTTCTTGGAATGAAACTCCTCTTGATTGAATGTGAAGTCATCATTGCATTCAAATTTAGAGTAAGTAAGACGAGTAACACTGAGTAGTACGAAGATCAGGTATAGTATCACGCGAGTTTTTACCCCCTCTAGTACATGTAATGGCGGGTAACCGTCTACAATTCATTTATTAAGTCGCTACATTCAGAAAAATGGGTTCTCAGTTCAAGAACAAAAAAATACGCTCAGTCGAATAAAGGGGATTTTGCACTTGATTTAGCTTGATTCGAAAACAATTTCATTTGTAGTGAGACAGATGCGCTAAATTCGAGTACCGAAAGCACTTGGATACACCTTTAACACAACCAATAGTAGTGAATATATTTTAAAACTGAAAATTTCAATTATTTTAGGGAATAGTTACAATATTTCAATATGTTTCTTTTGAATTGTACGAAGGTGGAGCACAACAAAGTAAATACGAGTCTGGAGTATAGAATTCTCTGCTAAAAATAAAAAAAGGGACCAGGTAGGCCGACCCTGCGCATCCGATGCCAAGGACGCCTATCGCGACAGGCTGCCACAGTCAGTCCTATTTTAAAGATTTACAAAACACAAAGCCACGCGTCGCCATTCGCCAACCGGAATTATTTGAAACATCGTGGGAGTGGGGTGGGGTTGGGGTAGGGAGGAAAGGGATCAAGAATGTCCGCCGCCGGTCGGCCGCGGGGCCGCGGCACGCGCAGCAGGAGGCGAAGGGGTGCGGGAAGGACAAGAGGGAAGGACAGAGCAAGGCCACCGGGCGGACCTCACGCCACCCACCTCGGACTTTACACATAATGTAAATTGGCGGACGAGCAAAGAAGCCGCTGGTGTCTCTGCCGCTGGGCCGCTCTGCCTACGGGCGAGAGGCCATTCGGGGACTTAAAATGTCATTTCATTAATAGAAGCCAGCTGCCCAGGTCAAGGGAACACGAACGGATGGCGAGCCCCATTCGCCCTTGCGGCCTTGCGGTCGCAGGACAGGGCAAGTCGCGTACAGCCGTCAGGGCCGACATGTGCACGGGTTACATCGGGTGGGGGACAAATATTTCTCCTTTGTCACTAAGTTTGTCGAAATGAGATTGCGATTTGAGTGCTCCGTCCTGCTGCGATTATGTGGAAAGTTTCAAACAATATAAAGCGCAAGAAGCAATCCATACAGCCTAGAACTCGGCAGCAACAAAGTGTTGTATTGGACCATCAGACCGACAACAGTAGTGGCAGCAAGTACGCCAGGCTGATTTCGAAACCAGGCTAAAAGACACTCCTTTTTACAGCCTCGCTTTTACGGTATTTCGGCTCGGCCAGCAGGTTTCAAGCCCGGCGCGAAGGTTGAGCGAAGGCCAGCTACTGTCGTAGTGTCACATCGACAAGACGGCGGACGAGCCGAAGCCGATAGTAGCCGAGCGGAGCCGACAGCGGAGAAGAGCCGTCTGGATACGGAAGTGCAAGCGGACGAACATGTGCGCGCCGCCGTTTCTAAGAAGCCCAATCAGGCACTCTCTGAGTGAAAACAGAGTTCATAAAATGGTCCAGTTTAAGTACTGGCGCGCGTCTAGCCGGCATAAAAGCGGCAGACAAGGGCGGAGCCGGGACGAGCGCACCGCGCACCGGCCGACGGCATTCCCCTGCCAGCGGGGTCCCACACCGGAGACGGTACAGCAGCGAGCAGCCAGCTCTATCCAAAAGATGCGGAAAAGTAGTACTCGCCAGAAAGAGAGAGAAAGAGGAACTGGTTCACAGTCGGCGGTAAATTACGTTTTAGAGCTCTCCGTCACAGCGGCGCGTGTGTCTCAATTCGACCGAATCTGAATAGATACACGTTTGTCGCCGTATCGCGAAGGACACGCGTTTTTTTTTGCCATGGCCACCGCCTTCCTCCTGGTCGCACGCGGCCGCGCGCACATTCCGAAGGCGTTGACATTCGTCGTCAGATATGCAGGGATGTTCGATCGCGCGAGCTTTAATCAGGCGCTGCTAGCTTTTTATTGCTGCCAGTTTTTTTCTGCGCCTTCCCTCTCCTCCCCCTTCCTCACTCTCGTTCCTTTTCGTCAGATCAGCCCGCGGCTCAGCTGGGCCGCGATACGCGTGTTTTATCACCAGGGGCCCAGCGCGGCCGCGGTTTGGGAAGTAGCAAAAGTGTGAGTCAGAGCGACAGGGACGTGTGTGTGCGCGGGACAAGGACAGTGCGACGAGCGGTCTCGCGCAGCTCCCATTGGCCGGCGACATTTGGCGCCAAAACGACGGCAAACGGGCCTCACGCGGTTGTCGCCAAGGGACCTGGTCGCGGCCTGGCGACACTCACACGCGGAGCCCACCGGTTGACGCTGGCGGATCGGGCAGTCCCCTGATGGGCCCCCGGTGGCCCCCTGGTGAGCTGGGGGGGGGGAGGGGGGGGGCTGGGAGGACGCAGGTGGCTCCTGGTGGGCCCCCAGAAGGCCCATGGTGGGTTCCTGGTGGACCGCAGTGCTGTGGGTTTGTGGGTCCCCCTGGTGAGTCCCTGGTGGTGTGGGTCCTGTCCTTCCTCGGTCCCCAGTGAGTGAGTCCTCCACGCGCGCTATGCCCGAAAACGTACGCCACACCATCGCTTTGGCAGTTGGGTTCACTTTCAGAGCCAGCCAGTGAGAAAATTAGGCGGAAAGGGAAAGTAATTGAATCACCCTCTTGCGCACGGCGACGCTCGCTCAGCCAGCCACTCGCTTCCGCTTCACACTCGCCCTCCCATACACTTACATATGGGTATTTCGCTGTATTTCCACCTCAACAATTCAGCTGCAAGAAGGCGAGCAGAAGCGCGCCTGTCTGCCTCATACCTCGTTCCACTATCAACAGGGACATCAGTTATTTGACGGCCGAGGGGTGCCTTGTACTTCTGCGCGCAAGGGGGTCGGCGGGACGGGTCACCGAATTCTTTGAATTCAACTTACTT